GCCATAGTTCCAGCAGAAATTCCAGGGCTAGCAGATGCTGTTGGTTCTGGTTAGCTTGGCTCAGATCACAGGTTCCCTGCTGACCAGTCCCCGTGTCCAAGGGCTGTCTGTATTCTCATTAGCCTGGCTGAGTCTTGTGCCATGTGAGATACCAGTGAAGCGGAGGTGGGTCCCCAAAGGAAAACCGGGGGGAGGCCAACCCTAGAACAAGAGGGGATGGGAACGGGCCTGGAATACAACAGCAGCCTGTTACCCAACCATAAGTTGGAGCTTCCTTAAAGCTCACATAGATGATAGACATAGGTGGTTTACAGACATGGTAGGGCTGAGGTCATTGATGCAACAATGTCAAATAAGAAAGACTGGCCCAGCTGGCACTGCTCAGTGGTTGAGTGTTGACCTATGAACCAGGGGGTCAGGGTTCGGGTCCCAGTCCGGGCACATGCCCCGGTTGCTGGCTGGATCCCCAGTAGGGGGCGTGCAGTAGGCAGCTGATCAGTGATTCTCTCTCATCATTGATGTTTCTCTCTCCCAGCCTCTCTTTTCCTCTTTGAAATCAATGAAAAATATTTTTTAAGAAAAAGGAGAAGGAGAAAGAGAGTGGCCTCAACCTCCAGAATCTTTGCACCCCACGCCCAGCCCTCCGCCTTTCGGGGTGCCTGACCTTTGCCCCTGCTGCCGCCCCTGCAGAACCTGAAGCGCGTGGCGGAAGTGTGGATGGACGAGTACGCCGAGCACATCTACCAGCGCCGGCCCGAGTACCGCCACCTCTCCGCCGGGGACGTCGCCGCCCAGAAGAAGCTCCGCAGCTCCCTCAACTGCAAGAGTTTCAAGTGGTTTATGACGCAGATCGCCTGGGACCTGCCCAAGTTCTACCCGCCCGTGGAGCCACCGGCCGCAGCCTGGGGCGAGGTGAGCCGGAGGGCAGGGCCAGCTCCCGTATGGCCCCGTGCACAAACCATCGCCCCGTGCACACGCGGGCCCCTGTTCACAGGGCAGGGACACGTGCCAGAAAGGTATCCGTGGTGAAACTTCCTCCTGGTTCCCCGCCTTTCTCTAGCTTTGTTTTGTTTCTTGTTTTTTTAGTTTTGGGTTTGTTTTGGGTTTTTTGTTTGTTTTATTTTGTTGGTGTGTGTATCTTTCTGTTTAATGATCCAAGTAGCGGAAAATCAAAACTTTGAGTGATTAGCATAAATATTACCGTTTACCGTTATACTGTGCACTGCCAGTTTTAAATGCACATCGTAAGGCATTTAACGCATGGTAGGACCGGTGACATTTCAAACCTCGTGTACACATGTGTATTTCTTACCAAAACAGTGGAAACACTGCTCGGAATGGACAGGCGGATAGGTGAACACTGTCCCCCTTGGGCTTGCTGGTGGGTGAGGAAGAGCTGCAGGAAAAGGAGCTCCCACTTCCCTCTCCTCCGAGGCGTGACCCGCTGCTTAAGCGCCTGGCTGGCCCCGGGGAGTAAGGCGGTGGGAACAGACTGTGTTACCGGAGCTCCTGCTCCTTCCCGGGTCTGATGATACCAGTCAGCGGAGCCAGTCCTGGCTGGAAAGGAAAGCTGCCCACTTAGCCTTAGATGACGGCACACACTCCCCTTCAGTCTTGCTGAAACATGCCCCATCCCCCCCACCCCACCCCCCACTCCCGGCATGTGGGATCCCGCAATTCTGGGCACCGCAGCCGCCGCAGACAGGTGTGGAGAAAAGAGCAGGGATGCTCCTGCAGCACGCGTCACCTCTGCTCACAGTCCGGCTCCGCTGTTCCATCAGATGTCACTCACAAGTTCGGAGATAAATGATTAAACATATTAAGACGGAGACAGCAGCGCTGTGATCCAGCACAGGCCCTCCTGAGTGAGGGGCTCCGGGCCACGACTCCTGTCACAGGCCCTGAAGCCTGTCCCGCTGGGGAGGCGGGCAGTCTTCCCCGGGGCAGTGCTCAGTCGCCGGCTCCTGGCTCCTGGGTCTCCAAGCTCAGAGGACCCTCTCACTTGTACATGGATATGGTGGAGCTTGGAGAGAGGGTTCAGATTCTCTGAGGGTGGGCCAGGGAGCCTTCCTTTACCTCCCCTCCAGCCCCCCGCCCCCCGGGACTGTGCTCTCAGACAGAAGGGTTTAGAGGATGCTCTCTGAGGGGCTCCAGGCACTGCCCCAGCCCGGGCTCAGTTAGGACAGCTTGGAGCCCAGCCCTTCTGAGTCTCTGCTTCGGTTCCTCCCTCCACCCCGCACGGACCCCCCCGGGGAATCCCACAGTGCCTCACTAGTCCATCTCTCCCTCTTTCTGTCCAGTTTCGCAGTGTGGGCACCGGGCTGTGTGTGGACACGAAGCACGGGGCTGCGGGCTCCCCGCTGAGGCTGGAGAGCTGCGTCCGGGGCCGCGGTGAGGCCGCCTGGAACAACATGCAGGTGGGTCCCCTCCCGGGGACTGGCGCCAGGTTCTCTGTGCCCAGGTGTGGGGACTGGGAGGCACAGGCCCTGGTCAGTGCCGAGTGACAGAGTCAGCCAGGGAGCAAGTCAGAAAGGCTCCCTGAACGCCTTGGAAAGAGGAATCCTTCACCCTGCGATCAAACCCTCAGTGTGCACTGCTGGTCACCAGACCCGGCAGCAGCCCGGGTGGGTGGCCTTCCCAAAAAGGGAGTCATGGGCGCATGTCACTGAAAAGTCTGGGTGATGTCATCGGGGTCTCTCCCTGTCTCTCCGCTGCTTCTCTCTCTGTCGGCTTCCTTCAGAGCCTGCCCCTCCCCACGGGGCAGCAGAGGCCAAGCCCCCCCAGTGGGGAGGCACGTTCCTCCCGGGAGTTCTCACGTGCTTGGCTCTCCTGAGCCTGGCACAGTGGGAACATGATCGTCCTCGCAGTGATCAAGCCCAGGTCACACCCGCAGCCTGGGGTGTGGTCAGCCGCACCGAAGAAGGGGAGAGGTAGGATGGGTTCCCCAGGGCCATTCCCAGGAGTGAGCTCAGGAGGATGGGAGTGGGAGCCAGCCTCGCCAGGAGAGCTGCCCACCCTCGGGAGGCTACATTCAGCTTCCTGAGGCCCGTCCCCCGAGCAGTGACCCTGGTGCTAATTCACACGGCCTCCTCCTAACCTGGGCTCCAGGCTCCTCCCTGTGGGTTGCTGGGACTTTGGAAGCGACACTGATAAAGCCTCTGAGGCGGGTCCTGTGCAGACACAGACGTCAGCAGGTGCGCTGTGTTCTCACTGAGGAAGGACAGCACCTGCCGCCTCTCACCCTGCACGGGCTGGCCTGCCCACCTCTGCCCTCCCTCTGAGATGCTTCCGCTTCCCCGGGTCCTTTCTCGATGACAATTCTCATTAGACAGAGGTTCTTCTTGACGAATTCTTCTGGATTCTGCAAGGCCATTGTTATGCCCAGATTTCAAGATCCCTAAAGACCACCAGGGAGCCGAGTCCAATGCAAAAACAAAGAGCCTTTTTTTCAAGCTCGAGCCTGGTCTCTCGCAGCGGCAGGATGTAGGAGCCCTGAGTTCTAAGAGTATAGCTTCTTTATAGGGCTTAGGGTTGGGTGGTGGGGTGAGGCTCAGACCACTGAGTTGGCTGGTTTCAATTGGTGGGGTGAGGGCCAGGGTCCAGTTATCCCTGGTTACTTCCCTCTGCATTTCTATTGGCTGATTTAAGGGTGGGTTAGGCAACTAGAACTATTTTGTAAAAAAAAAACACACTGCTGTTTAAAAAATGTTTGCTTTCTAGCCTGTTTGAAGATAAACTCAGCTATATGACTTTGTAGGCCAGAGACTAGATATGCCCATAATCTCAATGCCATGCCAGGTGCATTTTTCAATTGAATAGAACTGTGTTTTTTTTTTTTCAAGGCCAGCATCGAGATAATTACTAAGTGCACATAGGGCTGGCTCTTCAACAAAAAGGGAAGTTCTGCTTGTAGCCTTGCCCTGCCCTTTCACCGTGATGTTGGATTTGCTCTAAAACAAGGGGGAAGGGGGAAAAGTCGTAACAAGATCCACCACAAGGTGGTGGGAACGGCTGTAGTCAACATTCCCTTTTTCTGGACCTCTGTATCTAGATTTCACATAATTAAAAAAATAAATACAGTGCCCTTGCTCGGCCTTGTTGTCACCATGTCCGTGTGACAGGTGTTCACCTTCACCTGGCGGGAAGACATCCGGCCCGGGGACCCCCAGCACACCAAGAAGTTCTGCTTCGATGCCGTCTCCCACACCAGCCCGGTCACCCTCTACGACTGCCACGGCATGAAGGGCAACCAGCTGTGGAGATACCGGAAGGTAAGGCAGGCGAAGGTGGGGGCGAGGGGAGGAGGGCGACGGGCCGCCTGCTTTAGACGGGAAGCAGCGTGGGGCCTCCCGCCCGCCAGCAGAGCCTGCTCACGCATGCACGTGGCCACGAGCCTATCTGCCCGATTTCCAGACATTCGAGAGAGGACCGAAATCCAGAGTTTTCCGTGAAATCTCTGGAATCTGAACTGTTGGTAACTGCGTCCATTAAACATGCACACAGGGAGGACCAATGCAGACTGTCTAGAGACGGTCAGTGGTCAGGGCCCAGGCCCGGACGTGGCATACTTCACGTATGCCCACATCACGGTGGGCACGACTCAGGCGCACGAAGGAGGCAGACAGTGTCTCACTGTGCGCTCAGCAGGAAAGCCACACAGTCCGAGCGGCTGGCCGGCCACCGCCTCGCTGCCCTGCCCGTAGTTCCTGCCGCTGCGGTTGGCGCTGCCTCGCTGATAACCTCCGTGTTTTGCAGGACAAGAGCCTGTACCACCCCGTCAGCGGCAGTTGCATGGATTGCAGCGAAAGCGACCACAGGATCTTCATGAACATCTGCAACCCCTCCTCTCCCACCCAGCAGTGGCTGTTCGAACACACCAACTCATCCGTCCTGGAAAAGTTCAACAGCAACTGAGCCCACGTGTCTGCCGCAGGCCTGGCGGGGTCCCCCCTGCCGCTCAGCTCACTGCGCCTTCCTCTTCCCGGAGAGGCAGGGCGTCCATGGGCACCGTGATGCCAAGGTGCTGGCCAGGCGGCTGCCTGGTGCTGAGGCCCCACGCTGTGGAGGGGTGTGGACAGCAGAGCCCACGAGCGGCCCCACGAGTGGCAGAACCTGCTTTAACCCCTGATGGCACCGTGGAAGTCCAGGCCAGCCTCCAGTCGCCGTGTTCCCTTGAGCATTTTGCAGGGAAACGCCAGGGCAGCCCTGGGCCACTCAGAATGCGGCTCGCCTATGCAGTCCTTCAGAAAGAGGCAGTTTTGCCTGTTCAAGGCAGCTGTGAGCACATGGCCCCCATTTACAGCAGCAGAGAAGAGGCTGCTGGTGTCAACCTTGTGGTGTTGGCCAGCTGTGCAGTTCTCTTCGTTCTCTGTCCCAGCCCCAGGCCGCACAGCGGGCCCTCAGAGTGTTCCGTCCTGAGCACCCGCAGCTGCCAGGCCCCGGCTCACAGGCTGGGCCCTCGGACATCCCTTCCGCTGCAGTGTGGACATACGGGGTGCCTCTCCTTGCTCTCTGGGAGCTGGAGATGCCCATTGAGTGCCCTCCAGGCACAAGGACAGCCCAGCCGTCAGCTTTTTTAGGCCGTTTCCGATGGCCTTGGGCCCATGGAAGAGGCCTAGTGAGATCCCCAAACCAGAAATTCTGGCTGAATTTCCCTGGTCAGTACTTCCACTTTTCTTCTTTCCATCCCTCCTCTCTCTCCCCCTCTCTCCCTCTCTCTCTCTCTCTCTCTCTCTCTCTCTCTCTGACAATTCCTTGTCTCGGGAGAGGCACAGAGGTGTGGAGTGCTCACCTCCCAAGTCCAGAGACCTCCCGGGTAGACCATGGAGGATGCCTGGTCTCTGACCTCATTATGGTTCTAGTTCTCACGCCGAACTCTACAATTTGTAAAGAGCTCTAATTTGATCACAGGCTAGAATGCTACCCAGGATTCTGGGATTCTGGCATTCTGGCGTCCAGTATGACTTCCTAGAATGTTGTGATTAGAGGAGGCAGCCAGGGGTAATACAGCCACGGCAGCCCTCAGCCAAGAGACAATCTGTGAAGTCCCACCGGGGGGGCTGTGTCCATCCACTCCCGCCAGAGGCCATGTTGTGACATGGTCCTCAGCCAGACCCGAAGCCCTGAAGCCTCCCACCCCTGTGTCCCGGGAACGGATGCCCCCCAGGTCCCCACGCAGTCCCTCCCGTTTACCTTTAGCTCCATTCATCCCATGCCACACTCCCGGAGGGCTCCCGACAAACAGGAAGCATTTCCGCAGCCAGCCTGCCACGCACTGATCCAGCCTATGGCTTCCATCAGCCAGCCCAGGAAGTACTTGAAATCAGTATTCCAATTAGAGTCGGCTCTCTCGATTGTATTGTTTGCCAATTAAATAACTGAGACGTAAATCTGGGAACAGAGCCACAAATCTGCCTTTGAGATGCTGGCTGATCTCAAGGCCGTCAGTGATCTAGGGGAGGGGGGGGAGGGTCGGAAGAACCACCCCAATTAAGCGTGCAGCTGGCAGAGCGTCACTCCTGTCTGCCCCGCACAAGCCCCGCTCTGGCCACCTCTCCACCAGAGAGGCCGCCCTGTGCTGGCCAAGCCTGTTTGCTGAGCCCCGGTGTCCTCTCCCAGTGGGCATTGTCTTTGGAAGCGGCCCTCAGTGGGAAGGAGTCGAACATGAGGCCCCTTCCAGAACCTAGGGTAACAAGGATGCTGCAGCTTGGAGAATCAATTTAGGATTCCTCATCAGAGAGCAATGCAGCATCATTAAAATAAAAACTGTGCCTTTTAAAAAATGCAAATGTACAGCAAATCCCTAAACTTGAACCATTTCCTAGTGCCTTGCTAGACAAATATAAGGGGTAGGGATTGGGGGGCGGCGGGGATGGGGGGTTGGTGGTATGTGCAGTTCCTATTGGATGAGTGTCTGTTCCATAATGTTGAATTCCAAGCAGGAGGCGTTAGGCCTAGAGCAGGACCTGGGATGGAGATGCCCCCCCCGAGGGCAGAGGCCAGCAGTTGCTCCCGTTAGTGTAACACTCCAGATTAAAGGAGCAGCTGGGCAGCTTGTGTAGTTAGTCTGTGGCCTAAAGGGGCCTCCGCGGCCCCTGGGAGAGGCCCTGTTCGGAGGCCGTGTCTGCAGCCCCCGCCCCTCCGAGCCCCCGGACAGAGTGCAGAGCACTGGCTGGGTTTCCAAATGGGCCCTCTCCAAGTGGATGCGCGTTCTCGGCATCACTGGGACTCATGTGGAGAGCAGGAGCAGCCTTCCTCCCGCCCATCCGTTGGGTCTCCTTTTGAGTCTGGTTTCACTCCCTCAACAAGGGATGGGCAGGTCCTCCGAGCACTCCGGCCTCCGTCATTGCTGAGCCCACATCTGTAGGCGCTGCTGGTTGGCAGTGTGTGCAACAGGGATGGCAGGAGACGGGGTCATTGCCTGGCTGGCCAGCTGGCTAATTGCCAACACTGGCCACTCGTTGTCTTGGCCTCATTTATTTTAGACTGGCTGTCTTCAGGATTTCACAGTCCTGCTCACACCCCTAGCTGATGCCCAAATCAAACAGCCAGGAGACTGTGCAGAGGCTGTCAGCCAGGTTAGGGGTGAGAACATAGGCCCCCCCCCCTTTTTTTTTTCTAAAGGCTTTATTTTGAGCATGAGATCACAAAACAAACGAGTGGCTAAAATGTATCTTGACCATGTGGTCACCAGCAGCCCTTCCGAAGGGGACTCCAGAAACATTTCAAAATATAAGCACATCTCGCTGTACGGACAGGGCTTTGGACGTGGCCCAGTGTGCCAGCACCTGTGTGAAAAGCCATTGCCTCCAATTGGAGCTTGTTTCAGCTTTAAAAACAGTCCAGAAACTGTTGATTCTCCCCTTTAGGGAGAAATAGCTCAGAGGCAGAGGGGGTACCTATGAGGGAGGGGGAGTAACATTAGGTCCAGGGTAAGAGCAGTTGCTTCAGATGGGGCCTCTGGATCCCCAAAGCCCATGTTAGAGGCGCTTTTCAGACCTCCTACCTGTTGGATTTCCTTTTGTGCATCTCCATTCCTCTGGTCTCTGGAGCATTAAACGAGCTGCAAAGCACTTTACAGCTGTAAGTGGGAGATGTGGAATCCTTGCCTCAACGACCCCCGGTTTGTGCAGATGGGTGATCTCGTATAATTCCTGGTAGACAATGCATTTTCAGTGTTCTCTGGAGATTTTTAAGTGTGGGAGAGGGGCAAGGAGTGTGGTTCTGTTCTGGGACTCTCTGCTTTCAGCTGATGGTCTTTGTGAAAAATCCAAGTCATATTTTAGTTCAACTTGATCTTGAGCCGAAGCCCACTGCCACCTCTGGGGTGGGTCTGGGGTCTACATTCCAAGTGACAAGGTCCCGTGCCCGACCATAGGGTCAGGCTCCTGTTCTATTTGGGCTAGAAAACTGGGGTTCCCAGGGGCTTAGCGATGATTCCCTAGAGAGAGTTCGAGACCACCGGCCTCTCTTCTCCTGCCTGGAAAAGCGCGCCTTCGTGAAGAACTGATTTCATGTACAGTTGTGATTGTGACTGAGTAAAAGTCCAGACTTTCTCTAACGTGGTCTCTGGTTCATTCCTTGTCACACGCCATTCCCCGTTCAACCTTTCCTCACCTGCTCAGTACCTGGCCCTCTGTTGGTGGCACTAAGCAAACTCCCAAGACCTAATGCAACTGACCAAGATGATTTCAGATGTGAGTAGGGCGAGGAAGGACATAAAACCAGATAGTTTAGAGGCTGGAGTGCCATACTTATTCAGAAACAGATTTAGAGAACTTGGCAGTTTGCTCAGCATTGGGAAGGATGGCCAGGGAATGCCTGTCTGAAAGAGCTGGAAAACATGAGGGAGTGTGAGCCAAGAAGCAATGTGGGGAGAGAGTTCTAGGCAAAGGGAAGAGCCAGTGCAAAGGCCCTGAGGCACAGAGGAGGTGAGCTCACAGCGGTAAGCAGGGTGGCCCTCGACAGACTACACCCAGGAGTGGAGGATTTCAGGAGGACAGCGACAACATGACATAGCTTAGCTCCTTTCTGATGCTCACCCATCAGCCAAAAGCCTCTACTTACCAAAGCATGTTGATACTTTGAAGTATGAGGATTGTGTGATGCCCTGTGGTGGGAAGAGCGCTGGCTGGCCCGGCTCTGCCGCAGGCTTGCGGAGATCTGGTGTGAGTCCTGCCCACTGTCTGGCCTCAGTTTCCCTCAGTAAAAACGAGACATTTCCGGATCCAGCTCCACTGATGTGCCTGTGTTTGAGTCTCGACATGGAGCTGCAGGGGACCATGAGCAGTGCTACCCACTGTGCTGTCACGCAGGGCCCACCAGAGGGCGTTGCGGAACACAGCTTGGAGAAGGCTGACAGCAGGAAAGGGGGAGTGTTCACTGGCCACCGTGGCGGGTTTAAGCCCTGAGAGGGTGGATATTTCCTTTTGCAGCTTCCATTGTATTTTGAAAAAGTCTTTTACCACCCGGGATCATGACAATTTTCTTCTAAATATTGTAATGGGTTTCTTTAAAGAGCTTTAAGGCTTCCTAGGAATAAAAAGGAGGAGAGGGAAGGCATTCCAGGTGTTGGGGGGGCAGCAGGTGTGAAGTTGTTGTGATGGGAGGTGACAGATACGCAGGTCAGTGGGGCCGGAGCTGAGTGGAGAGAAAGCGAAGAGGCAGGAGGGGCCATGTGATGGAGTCTGGTCTTTATTTTAAAAGCATTGGAACCATGAGAGGGTTTTAACCTGGGCAGAGTGAGGGCATCAGATGTGTCCTTGGCTGATGCTGGAGCCAGAACAGACTTGCTCAAGGAGCTGGGCACATAGTAGGCCTAAGGGTGAGAAACAAATCCAAGCAGCTGGGCCTGGTGCCTTCCCAAAGTCACCAGCCGCTGGGGTGGGTGAGAACAGAGAGGGCATTTCTCATCCTCCCGAGCCCTCAGTGAGGAGACGCCAGGTACCCAAGAGGCCTGGCTGCAGTGGGACCTCCGGATCCTCATTCAGAAACAGCTTTAGAGAACTTAGCAGTTCCTCAAAGTTTTGAATCTTCTTTTTCTCTCTATTCCATTGAGACGGGGGCTTTGAGGGTTCCTAGTAAGAGCCCAATGAGTATTGGATGGACAAATACAGTTTGAGTAACGTAGTTTCAGATTACGCTTTGGGCCTCCTCTCCCTCCTCTCCCAGCCCACAGACCTGACAGAGTGCTCCCACATTTGTTACACGCATTGCACCCTTCCTCTCCCTGGGCCTCCAGATCTTCCTAGACACTGGGGGAAGGGGAGCAAATTAGATCCTGGGCAGCCTGGACTCATAGTTCTGAATCTTGCATTTAGGAGTTTGTGATGGCCCCGGTAATAAGGATTCATTTTCCAAGCTCAGCAAGGGGGATGGGAATGGGACCTCCTTCCGGTTCTGCTGGTGTCTCCCACCCCAGGGCTCCTGGACTTTTGCTGAAGTGGGTCCAGGGTGCAGTATCCAGAGCGTCCTTTCTGCAGCTGCTCACAGCTCTGCCAGCCTCTGGCCTCAGGCAGCTGCCTCCTCTTGTTCCCCCTCAAGGCCTGGGCCGCCTGGCTTGGCCATACCTGGGTGCCAA